AAAATATAAGAGAGAATAATTAATAAATAATTAGTAAAGAATAATTCCATTCTGTGCTGTGAGATAACATTAAAGTAAATTATAAATTTGTGAGTGGTGTAATATTACATCATAAAACCATGAGAGTATTAGTGTTCAGTGACCACACCCAATGTTCTATTTACTCAAATTGCCTCAAAATGTTTGGAGCATATTCTGAGGACTCTTGCAGGTTTTATATTTTCAGTGCCTATGTTTTCCATCCATTATTTGCGGAGAGCCTCATTTTTCGGAAATCTAAAACAAATAAATATTAATTTAATACATTACAGAAGACTTATTATCAAAAACACAATTATACTTCACATTTTCGATGTCCCTGAATGATGTATAATTGTATTATTTCATTTTAATCTGACTATCAATGCTACTTCGTGGTAACGAAATTGATACTTTGACGAGTGTAGCCAAAAAAATAAAGTCTCGATAAAATTTACAAACAACCATGCTATGAACAACACTACGTTTTCATGTAAACATTGCAAATATTTACTTATTGAATATTTTACTTGTTAGTAGTAGTTAGAAGAATAAAAAATAACCAATAATACTATATGTACAATTTCTGTTACATACACAAGTAGTATCACATACGAAAAAGTACAAAAAAATACACATGAACTCTGCAAATTTCATAAAATGGGTGACGGAAAAATTAATACCTAATCTACCTGAAAGGTCGCTTGTGGTAATGGACAACGCTCCTTACCATTGCACTCAATTAAACAAAGCCCCTTCAATGTCAAATAAGAAAGGTGGCGGATATAAAAAGATCCAAAAGTAGTATGCAGGAATGGCTCCGGCAAAAGGGTATATATTTTGGTATATATATGAGATGGACCGAATAATTATATCTACGGCTAGTGATACTGAAACAGAATCTGATTCAGTTTCCAGCCACTCTTCAGACAGTGATGTTCCTATGGCCACTGATCACAATTATTCAATAAAACTCTGAATAAAAAATTGTAATGCTTTGCTTTACCCTATTTATATATAGCTTATAAAAGTAAATAAAAATATACTTTTTACATAACAGAAATATAGTAAATTATGTAAATGGACATTTTTATCAAAATTTATGTTTAAATAAACTTAAACTAGGAAATGTGACATCCCACGTTTCCCAGTACTGATCATGACCAAAAATCGTCGGCTTTTATTGCTTTGTTTTTAGTTTCTCACATAAACACTGAAACTATTTAATAATAACACGACACTTACATAGTCATAATAACGTTAGTTAATTGGACTTATTGCATGAGTGGGTTGGTAGACATTTTGATAAAAATGCCCAAATATACATTTCACTTATCAGAAATATACATGTTTCACTAATCTGAACTATTGTTATAGTATTGGCTTGAGTAATGAAATTACAGCCTATCTAAAATGTATTTATTTCTTAATACAATTTAATAGTTTCGTCGAAGTCTGCAGGAAATAATATTATTTGATAAATTACATATGCTAAATGGAAAATAGGTAAATTTTTACTCATAAATGGCAACACTATGTCACGCGAGTACAGCGCTGCGTCTGGGGGACTTCTTTCATGAAAAGGACTTTCTAAATAACTTTCATGAAAAGGACTTTACATAGCTATTACCAGTGATACCAACTGTTCAAAAAGAATACTTTTAAATAAATTCGAAAACCCACTAAAATTGACTAAATTCAAAAAACTTACTGAATTTAAAATCACATTTTTTATACTATTAAGGTAAAATTAAAACATTACCTGATTAAATTAAAAATTTCATTAAAAATAGAAATTGAACTAATATAAAAATGATTTATTTTAACATCTCTTATATATCGCTTAATAATTGACTTTAACATATTCTTAGAACACGCAATCATGAGTGACAATATTTTTATAATTTGTGTAAGAAATAATACATTCAGTATTATAACTTAGGGCGGAAGAATTTAAAATATACATACAAAGCACATAAGCCTTGGTCTGATTTCCACCCAAGCAGCACAGCACTATTAAATTATATTTTTCTTTTTGTGTAGTTTTATTTTTTTTTTTTCCAAAAATATGAATAAAATTTAACTAATAAAAATATTCACAAAAAATTTACCTCCTAAAAAATTTCCATTTATATTTTTCTTCCTTAATTTAGGCAGAAAATTCTTAAGTAGTAAGTTGGCATCCCTTACGTGCTAGGCCCCAATGCAATCCAGCTCAAGGCTAACAAAATTTAAAGACATCGTTAATACCGTGATTCGTATTTAAAAGCAACTAAAAATGTTTTTTTCCATGCTGTTAAGATTCAAAATTACTTAACTGCGCGCTTTGTCGCCCGTTACGGCTCAAGGCTAAACAAAGCAATAGAAATATAATAATATCGTTGTAGTAATCTTTGATACCATGATTAGTATTTAATTAAAACGGATCTTATTTGCATCGTGTTAAGATTCAAAATTATTTAACTTATTCATAATATCTGTTTAAAAATCTGATATTGTGCTGCTTGCCGTATGCGTAACTAGTGTAATATTTGTATCTCACGCGCTTTGTCGTTCAAAGTCTGTTTAAAAATCTGATATCGTGCATTGCTTGCCGTCCCGCTCTAACTAGTGAGTATTTATATCTCAAGCGCTTTGTCGCTCGATATCTGATATCGTGCATTGCTTGCCGTCCCGCTCTAACTAGTAAGTATTTATATCTCACGCCCTTTGTCGCTTGATATCTGATATCGTGCATTGCTTGCCGTCCCGCTCTAACTAGTGAGTATTTGTATCTCACGCGCTTTGTCTCTCGAAATCTGTTTAAAAATCAGATATTGTGGCAAATGCGTATGATATCGCGATTTGTGTCGGTATAGCGAGTGAGCACATTACATCAGATTTCGTAAATATCAGATATTGTAAAATACATAGATATTGAACGAGCCGGTAAGCGATATTCGGATATTGTACTAATATCTAGTTTTCATATCTGATACGATTTGTATCGCCCACTTCTATTTGGAACGCATGCATAGATTCAAAATGTCAATAGATGCAGTTATATGACAGTTGTTTCTTTTCGATATCAATACTTCACATGAAATTCTTTTTTCAACTTTCTCGAGTTGAGAACATTTCAATGTTGATATAATGCCTGTTTCACCAGGGTGCACTTAAGTCATGTACGACAGCACATGCGGTGCAGCTGCCAGCGGGCAATGCGGAAAAGCCCAGCGCGAAGGCGATGGGCCGCCGCCGCGAGAGCCGCCACCCGCTCCGCTTGAGCGTGATTACAGTGGTTTCGATATCGTAAAGGCCACTCAATATGGTGCCTTTTCTCGTGTTAAAGAACTTGTTGAAGCTGGTTGGGACGTTAATCAGCCAGATCACGAAACAGTCACATTACTACATTGGGCAGCAATCAATAACCGACGTGAAATAATTGAATATTTACTTACGAAAGGTGCTATTGTTGATGCAGTGGGGGGTGAATTACAATCGACTCCGTTACATTGGGCTACTAGACAAGGCCATCTGGAGGCGACAGTTCTGCTGGTACGCGCAGGTGCCGATCCCACTTTGAGAGACGCGGAGGGTTGTGCGTGTTTACACCTTGCGGCACAATTTGGACATACAGCAGTGGTAGCTTACCTTGTTGCTCGAGGGACTGATCCTGATGCCCCAGATGCAGGTGGCATGACACCACTTATGTGGGCAGCTTGGAAAGTGTCTGCTGTAGACCCTGCCCGATTACTACTTACGTTAGGAGCATCTACCAATCCTACTGATAATTCACATGGAAATACTGCATTGCATTGGGCCATACTTGCTCGTAATGCAACTGCTATTTCAACTCTTATTCTTTATGTGAGTAAAAAAAAAGTACTTTTTCCATTACAGTATTATGCCATTGTTGTAACTTTTTTTAAATGATGATTACAAAAGAAATATACACAGAAATAATTATTCTATACATAGCAAAAACAGCATACATTATTGTCATTAGAAAAACTTGAACCTTAATTTACAATCAAATTATTGTCAAAAACATAATGAACAAGAACAATTAACAATGGCATACTTGGTAGATATCAGTTTTTGGGTGAGAAGACAACTGTCCATATAAATTCATTGAATTTTATTCAATTAAAGATAATTGCAGCTTCAGTTTGATTTTGCAACCTATCAGTAATGTCATTTATTAATTATTTGTATTAAAATTCGTTAAAAAAAACCAGATTTATATAGCATTTAGCTGTCAAAGCTTAGACTGGACAGAAATGTATAATGGGGGATAAATCAAAGAACTCGAGAGTTGTTTTTTCACACAATCATCAAATAATTTTCTAAGTTTTCACATTCACTGTTAAGAAACTTACAAATTTTTACTTTATAATCAGACTTTGGCACTGACACGGTCTTGCTAATAGAGGATGGAAGTATTGGACATTGGTAGGCATTTACATTAATATTAATACTAATAATTATCTTCTATTGAGGATTTTTTTTTTATTTATTGTATAGTGGGAAAGTTTAAAACATTACTACAAACCAAGGTTTTAATTAGAAAACTTTATGGATCTTTAAACTTTGTACATAATGTATACAATTTCTGAAGCTGAAATTACAATTGCTATTTTAAAAATGCCAAAATTGAAACAGGGTAATGCCAGTTTAGACATCCCCAATCAGCGTGGAGTCACACCTCTGGTGATGCTACAGAATAATGCAGACTCTATGTGGATTGGCTCCAAGGTGTCAGATAAAGTTAAGGAGCATGCTTTGTTTACTACAAGGAGAAGTATTTTCCATAAACTTACATATGATAAGGTAAAAAAAAATCAATAAGAATATTTGAAATATTTTGTTTATTAATGATAATAATTTTCCAAATTTTCCTTATTCAAGTCAAATTTTCCTTATTTTTTTACAGAAATTCAGATGGTGGTGTGTAGTAGCAATGCCATTTCTGGCATTCTATCTTACTGGGCTAGTGTTGGAGATGGATGCCCTCTACCTACTTAAGATGTTCCTCCTAGTCTGTTTTTATGCTCTACTTCATTTCCTTAGCAATGTACTTTTTGACGATGAATTGAAAAATATATTTCCTCTAAGTGTGTACTTAGCTACAAAGGTAACAAAAAAAAAAAAACAATTTTATTGATAAACAATGCATTTGGCTGTAGTGCATAAAAAAACTTGTATTGTGTCAGGTGTGGTTCTACATCACATGGGTAGTGTTCATCGCACCAGTGGTGAGTGCTTCGGCCACGCTGGGCTTCTTCCTGTGCTCCGGCGCTCTGTGGTACACTTTCCTGCGCTCGTGGCGCAGCGACCCTGGCGTTATCACTGCCACCAAACCGGACAAATTTCGCGTCGGTGTTTATTTTAGCTTATACAAATGACAATTTAACTTAGTTCTTAGCATAAAATATTATATGAGAATAATTGTTACACCATAAAGTAATGAAGCCTTCTTTCTCATAGAAGAATATTTTTACTTTTTTAATGAGGTTGAGCAAGAACCATATAGATAACCAGTATTGAATGAAAGTAGTAATTGGAACTTAATTACTATCAGGTAAACTCCATGCTCTATTGCCATACCTATGAAATAAATGCAAGACAAAATAGATGAAAGATCAATGATAGTGTTGAATAATTTACTTTGCTCTGTATAGAGTTAAATATATTTTACATCACGACAGTACAAAAACAATGCAATTATAGCTAGGATACGATGACTTAATTGAATGGTCAACCGCAGACGATCATCGAGCTGTCGGAGAGCAGCCGCGGCGGCTTCGATCCGTCGCGCTTCTGCTCGGCGTGCCTGGTGCGCCGGCCGCTGCGCTCCAAGCACTGCTCCGTCTGCAACCGATGCGTCGCCAAGTTCGACCATCACTGCCCCTGGGTTGGCAACTGCATCGGTCTCTGTTCATGTTACACACTTAACGGTGGCCCAAATCAATTGCGACGTCTCTCTCCGAATGTATGAGTAATCGCAATGTGACCATACATTTGCAGGTGCTAAGAACCATCAGTACTTTATCGGTTTCCTGGTGAGCCTCCTGGTTATGTGCGTCTGGATGGTGTGGGGCAGCGCGCAGTACTTTTCGACGCAGTGCAGCGAGGGCGCGACGCCGCTGGAGGCCGCCCTGCGCTGGCTGCGCTGCAACGCGTGGCTGGCGTGGGTGACGCTCAACGCGCTGTTCCACCTGTTCTGGGTGACGGTGCTCACCAGCTGCCAGCTGTACTTGGTGAGTGCGCTGCGAGCGAGCGCGGGGGGCGGGCCCGGCCGGGGCGCGCCCGCTGACGAGCCGTGGCGTGGCCTGCGCAGGTGGTGTGCCTCGGCATGACGACCAACGAGCAGCTGAACCGCGGCCGCTACCGCCACTTCCAGGCGCGCGGCGGCCGCTCGCCCTTCACGCGCGGGCCGCTCAACAACTGCGCCGACTTCTTCCGCTGCCGCCTGTGCGGGCTGCTGGCGCCGCGCCACACCGACTGGGCGGCGGCCGGCCTCGACGACGCGCACGACCTCGTCGACCTCGCCGACCACCACGACCATCCCGCCCACCACGACCACCTCGACCACCTCGACCACCGCGACCACCGCGACCACCGCGACGCCGACACCGAGCCGATGCTGCGCGCGCACCACTACGTCTGAGGCACCGCCGCGCTGGATGCGTATTTTAGTACAACTAGGATAATTTCTCCATTCTTAATCGAAAAATGGTTGACGGATTCGGATCACTCGAGAGCAACGAAACTTCACTAATCTTATTTTTTACCAGTGATATAGAATTAAGTTTCATTAATTTGCTTGTGATGTGTTTTTCATTATTTTTATGTCATCCGTGACCTTAATTGTTAATTGGGTACCCATGGGATGATAATACCGTCAGTTAGATCCTAACTGTCCTCCACATTTGTTATTGTCAAGCGTTAGGTACATCTTACATTTAAGTCGAATCACAATACTCGCGGGCCAAGATTGCTCTGGGCTGTTCGTCAAGTACGGCCGTGGAGGGCTGTGTGTGAAATACTTTATTCCTTAATAAAATATTTTTTAATCTCTTATAAACTCTTTTACAAAAGAAACAGACGGGTAAAAAAAAGATTTATTGTTATAATTAGTTTCATTGATAATTTCAGATAGTCTTATCGTTATTACGGTGCTGATCTTGTAAATTAATAAGCGAAGAATAATTGCAGCTTCAGAACATCCCAGACATGCTCATCTAATAGCACCGAACGACAGTTTCCGACCTAACGAATATACGCTTCAATATCGCCAGAATGGTTATGCGCGAGGTTTATCCCCCACAAAACTTGAATGCAGCTTGTGCATGAGGAATTAGAACTTCCATTATGTATTGATGTCCAATAATTTTGCTATTTTCGATGAAAGGCTATGATTCAAGGAATTTATTGCCCGAAACATATACATATTTCATATCTTCAAAACCTGCCATTGCAGTGATCTTCTGGTCTTCGCAACAATGGCCGAGGTCGGTCTTCAGCGTGAGATGCCCTGGTTTCATTGGAGAATCCCAGTCTTCTTGAGTCCATGAGACCCTATTTTGTGTGATCGTAAGCGTGACTTCTCTGTGCTTACGGAGCTTCTCTCATCTAGAGCCGCGGGCTGGGTGATGCCTGCCTATTTGGCTGCATGAAGTCTCCTGACCTACATCGACTAATTTACACTACTTCGAGATTACTCTTAAGATTTTGAGCTACATGGCTTTCTTCAGAAAAAGGCCTCCTCTTGATAGTGCTGCCAGATCTCTCCAATTTCGACTCACACTAAGCCTCAAATTCGATAAGTTCTACCTATACACCCTTCTCAAGTAGCGTTATCATTTTGCTTACTTTTATCACTTTAGAAATGCCTACGAAATGAGATAATTCAATATAAATGATTCTAAAATTCAGAGCTTATTGTCTTTACGAAATCACGCCACAAAATTGATCAGCCTTATTCAAAAGCACAGATTTGGAACATACTTCAAAAAAACCAAGGCAATATTTATAATCGGCAATTAACATGTTCAAATTAATCATTTACAATATTTTCGTAGTTTTTTCAGGCAGAAAAAATCAAAGCCGTCTGTTGTTTTTGCAAAGGAGTATAATTATATTGAAAATGACTACGTAGCTGAACAAAATGAAGAAACCCTAACTATACTAAGACTCCACAAGGTTATGCGAGGTCTATTTTTTATTTGGAACTAAAACTGATTTGTTTTGGATTTAAGAAATCGTAATGTATTCTTAGAAAGAACCTATTTAGTGCGTACAATTATGGAAAGCTCTATTTTCATCATGGCGCCTGCGAAAAGGAACCCATGATAGTATGTAAATGTCTAGAGGCTACACTTATTTGCCCTTATCAAACGACCTACGCTTCATATCAATAAACTTTCTATTAATTAAATCTTTCGAACAAATATTTATATAAATAATAGTTAAGCTATAAGAGCTATATAGTCTATATTTTTATTCTGAGACAAAATTGACACGTGCAAATTGAAAATGTCAAATTGTCAGCAGCGTACAATACTCACGATTGTAACGATACGATTAAAAACCGGTGTAATTTGTATGATTCACAAATTACCTAACATTTTATCTTTATTAGACGATTTTGAAGGTTTTTCTGTTTTACTGAAAGAAAAAACAATAAACAAAAACGAAATGTGTCTTCCGGGCTATATAGTCGACGAAAATAATAACAGATATTTTATTATAGATCTAGGAGACAAGTATGATGAAAATATTTGTTTCACATTATATACATATATCTAAATAATTTTGTATTTCTACGTTTTAAATAATTAACTGCACATTTTTCAGGTTCATTTATTAAAAAAAGAAAGTGCTTCATTTTATTAACGACAATTTCGAAATATGGCAAACTACTATTTAAGAAATGCAATAAAACCCTGCAACCCACGTAATTGTCTCAATAATTTTGTCTCAGAGATAAAAAAAACTAATATCTTAAATGTAAAATTTTACATTGACGTATTGAGTGCAGGCCCGCTGTGGCATTTAGTAATTTTATTTATATTTAAAATAACTGTATAGATTGAAAACGTTGTATTATAAAATGAAACCAAAATGCATTTGAATTAAATAATTAAAAATAAAAACAATAATATCATTAACCAAATACTAGATTTCAATGTGCCCACCTTTTATTTAAGTAGTATTTAGCTACTATAAGTTTTGGCCCTATTTACTCTTTTCTTGGGGCGCACTCGCGCAATGGTAACCCATCTGGTGATCTTGTGCAATGCAAGTTGCAACGTCACTCTTCACTAGTACAATAATATTGGTTGACGTCGTCGTGGATTACTTGCTAATCTTTTATTTGGCAACGTACTTGACAGTCGTATGATCTACCCGTTCGTAACATGTTTTCCAAGTTGAGCGAGAGTTCTACAAATATTTGAAAATGAGTAAAAGGATGCATATGTTACTTGACTTCGATAAGAAAATATTTTATAAATGTCGATGCTTAAAATGAATTGTCCAGTGACTAAAAATTATAATTGGTGAATGAATATGTGATAGTATAAAACTTGATTTAAATATTAATGATATTGTAAAATCAGGGACAATAAATAATTTTTATTCCTATGCATTATAAGTTATACACAGATCATAAATTGCATAACTTGATGATTAACATATTTATAAAGTTGATTGATTGGTTGTGTGAAACTTGTTGAATTTTCCTTTGCTCTTGTGTCTCTCTATTGCCTGCAAATGATTGTTTTCTACATATTATTTTGTGCTTAGCAGTGTATGTTGCGGTTTTAGTCGGCTTTATCGAGAAGGTCCCAGGAGATCGTGAAAATAGAAGTTTTGTAGTACCTACTTCCCGATTTCGTCTGTTTGACGAGATACAACGATGGGTAAACGACTTACTCATTACCTATTCGGTGAACCACCATGTCATTTGCGCAAAGGTAAAAAAATAAAAAGAAGTGTACTTCCGCCATTAAATGAGTAAATTGGAGCGAAGGCAAGCAGGTTGGAACTCTGCGCCCTCACTACTTTGATTATATACTTGTCTAGATGACTCAACCTAACTACTATTAATTTCTTTTTTTTTATGTGTGTGACAAAGTGACAAACGCTGTAGCTATCAGCCATTTAGCTCAGTGGCTAGAGCGTCAGGCCGCGAATGCCGAAGACGTGGGTTCGATTCCCACAGCGGCGACAGTCTTTTCGTACTTTTTCTACATGTTTTAAAATACATTATTTATTTGATTAATAAATGATAACTTACCTACACAAACTATATTAAAACCAAGACACCATGCACTAAATAGATTTTGTTTTGTTTGGATCGGATAACGTTGCCCAGGCAATAAAATCAAAGAGAAAACGATTTCGAAAATAAATTAGATAGTATTTTTTGTTGTTACTAAAATAAATAAAACTGCTAATTTACAAAATATAACTTAATTCAACATATTTCGTTTATGTATTTAATTAATCATTCACGTATAATGGAAATAGAGTCGGTTCAAGGATACCTTGCGGTATACTTACCAAAACGTATTGATTATATTAAAATTTCAAATAACAATGGCGACATCTCTCGTTCGAATTATCCTTGTAAAACGATATTTGAAATTGTCTGCTGTAAACTTTTTTAATTTTTATTTCACACAAAATACACAGCTCTTTGTTACATCGTACGTACATCTTATAATCTGAAATTATAGCCAAAAACGGATTTACTTTATTTAAGCAGTATTTTCAATTTTTAAAGGACATGTTGAAGATAAAGTAGTTGGGATTAAAAATACATATTTTATACATCTAGAAAACATCACAAGAAAATTTAAAGATTTTCAACGTAGTTATACTCGCACGTGTGTGTGTGTGTGTGTTTTATGTGTGTTCGTTGTGTGTGTGTGTGTTAATGAGTTAACTAACCTCCACTACATAAGCTGAGCTTCAAGACATTCTTTTTAAACGTATCCTTATTGAAATGAAAAATATCAAATGAGTGGAATGTTTTAGTATAAACTTTTTGCAAACGATTCACCAGAGAGTTTTGTGCATAGTTTGTCATCGTTTGATTGTTTTTAAAAACCGCAAACAAAGGTGTAAGTCTCGTTCTACGTTTCGGAGTACAAAAGCAGAGAACTGTATCAGCTAAAGTTACACAGTCAATACTTCCACTACATAAACCATGCAAAAATGCCATGTCCATTAGAGTGAGTCTGTCCTCAAGGCTATATTGAAGTATCTACAAGATTTCATAATTATTAGTATAAACAAAATTTCTATAGTTTAAATGTCTCATAAATTTGTGCTGAATTTCCTCTAAGTTATTTATATGAACAGTGTAATGCGGTTTTCATATACTTACTACAATATTCAAGGATGCTTGAAACATATGAAAAGTAAAGTAATTTAATACAGCTAATATCAATAAAGGGTCTGCCTACGCGTAGGATGAAGCCAAGGCTTTTGTAGGATGAGTTGTTTAAATATGTTCTGAGAAGCTTAACTTGCAATCCAGTAATATCCCCAGATCCTTCAATAATTCTTTCTTAGTTATATTAAGCTGTTTTATTTGGTAGTTGAAATTTGTAGGTTCTCTTTTCTTGTGAAAGAAACGTAATGAAACTTATTAAC